TGATGATAATGATGGCGCTGGCGATGATGATGCGGTAAGAAGATTCAATCTACGATTCGTATTCCCCCAGTGATCATGCAATTCGGCCCCGCCAGTTCCCACCGCCGACGAAAACTGCATCGGCCGGAGATGATCTACACTCAGGACTTCAGGGGGGATGCGATATAATCTGGGTCGGGCGGACTTGGTCCTCTCGGCGTTAGCATCCGACCAGGAGAACCTAAGTCCAGACGGAATAAGCCCAGATGGATACCGAGCAACCATGAGCACTCCGTGCGACTTCCCCCGCGCGCATTCAGCGCCCTCCGACCTGCATATGCCTTGATGTGCCCAGTGGCCAGCCCGGCCCACCGGCTCTTCGATCGCCTTCGCTACCTATGTGAAGGATTCCGATTGGAATCCTCCACATGTGGATTTCTATTGGGATAACCCGCAGAAGGATTGCTATTGAGATGCCCCGAGAGAAAGAACCGCCCCGTTGGCATAGCATGGACATTGCATTGGCATTGGTTCGGCAATGGTTTGGCACCGCAGTGGCATTGCGTTGGCATTGCGCTTGGCATTGCGCTGGCTACGCTTAAATTTCGCAAGCGTTGCGCTGGCGAGTCCTGACGGCTCCCACCACATAAGGACTCCTGTTGAAACCTCTACAAGAAGGACTCCGATCGAAAACCTCAACAAAAAAATGTTCATATTGACACCCTCCACAGAAATATTTCATGCGACGCCTTCCACAGAAGGATTCCGACTGAAATCTACCACAAAGGATGTTTCCCATTGACACTGCATTGGCATTGGGTTGGGATCGCTTTGGCATTGGTTTGGCATTGCGTTGGTACTGCTTTGATATTGCGCTGGCGCTGCGCTGGCGAGTTCCAATACCTGCCCACGAGAACGGATTCCGATTGAAGCGGTCTACAAGAAGGGTTCGCATTGAACTCCTTCACTGAAGGATTCCATGCGAAGCCCTCCATCGAAGGCTTCCGATTGAACCAGACCACAAACGATTTCCCCCATTGACATTGCGTTGGCATTGGGTTGGGATCGCCTTGGCATTGGCTTGGCATTGCGTTGGCACTGCCTTGGCATTTGTTTGATATTGCATTGGCACTGCTTTGGCTTTGCGCTGGCGAGTTCTAACGGCTCCCCCCACAAAAGGATTATTATGCAAACCTCCCACCAGAAGGGATCCTTTTGAAAGCCCCCCACATGAAGGATTCATAATGAACCCCCCCACAAAAGGATTCCAACCGAAACCCTCCACAGGAGGATTCCTGTCGAAATCCTCCGAAGAAGGATTCGTAACCAAATCATCCACATAAGGATTCCTATTGAATCTTTCTGAAAGACAGGAATCCCGCCATCGGCATTGCATTGGCATTGGTTTGGAAACGGTTTGGCATCGCATTGGGATTGCATTGGCATTGCGACGGCAGTGCGTTAGCAGTGCGTTGGCATTGCATTGAAGGATTGCAACTGAAATCTACCACAAACGTTTCCCCCCATTGGCGTTGTATTGGCATTACATTGGGATCGCCTTGGGAGGAGGGAAAGAGGGAGGTGTGTGCGTGGGAGGAGACGCGGGTGCGACGCGGCAGGGACGACAACCATAACCCCACTAAGCATATGGGGAAGAACGGCTCTGTTGCTTCAACATCGCCATAAACATAAACTTTTGGCGCTTCGCGCGGATTTCTTGGATCCGCGCTGGACCCCCTTCCCTGGCGCGCGGGGCGCGCCAGGGGCGGCGCCGGAGGCGCCGCCGTGGGGGCCCAGCACGGATCTAAGAAATCTGCGCGGAGCGCCAAAAGCTTATGTGGCCATCTCTCTTCTCCGAACTGAGTGCCACGGCCCCGTGACGGCCGCCCCCCATGAAGGCCGCACCCCTCCTGACGAGGCCCCCCCCTGACGAGGCCCCCCTCCGCCCACTCCAGGCCCCCCTCCGCCCGCGTCGGCCCCCGCCCGCCAGTGGCGGCCTCCGCCGGCGCCGTCCGCCGAGGGCGAGAGCCCGCCCGCCCCCCTCCTCGCCCCTCCTCGGAGGAGGTGGGCGCCTCCTGCTCCTCCTCCGCCTCCTCCACCTCCTCCTCCTCCGCCTGGTCCTTCTCCTCCTCCTCCTCCTCCTCCTTCTCCGCCTCCTCCTCCTCCGCCTCCGCCTCCCCCGCCTCCTCCGCCTGCTCCTCCTCCTCCTCCTCCGCCTCCTCCTCCTCCTCCTCCTCCGCCTCCTCGCCCTGCTCGCCCCTTCGGGGGAGGCGGGCCCCTCGTTCTGCGGCGGCTCGTGGGAGCGTCAGTGGGCGCTAGCACAAAACATAAAGAAAAAACAGGACGGGAGTTTTGTTTGGCTATGTTCGGCCCGGGGTGGGCCCTCGCCGGGCCTCGGGGCCCTCAAAAAACGACTCGGGACGAAAAACCGGTCCCGGGGAAGGGGTCGGGACTTCCAGGGACGCCGCCCTGCAGCATGCAGGACGTCGCATCTCTGGGCCCCTCCTCGCCCCCGTCGGGGGCGGCGGGCCCCTCATTCTGCGGCACGGGAGCGCCAAAAGGGCCCTGGAAACGACAGGGCCGTTTTGGCTTACGGGTTGCGTTCTGCCGTCTTTGTTGCCACTTCCGTCGGCGTTTTTTGTTTGCCGGTTCCGTCGCCTTTTTCCCAACCATCCTGTGGTGTTGGGTCCTCGTTTTGAAGAGACGGTCCCCGCGTTCCTTCTTCCTCCTTCTCCTCGCCCTCCTCCCTCCTGCGTTCGCATGCCTCCCCACCACCCATTTCGGCACACCCCTCACACGTTTCGTGGCCCCATAGGGAGCTCCACCGAAGGCCCCAGTGGCTGCGTTCGCATGCCTCCCCACCACCCATGTCGGCACACCCCTCACACGTTTCGTGGCCCCATAGGGAGCTCCACCGAAGGCCCCAGTGGCTGCGTTCGCATGCCTCCCCACCACCCATTTCGGCACACCCCTCACACGTTTCGTGGCCCCATAGGGAGCTCCACCGAAGGCCCCAGTGGCTGCGTTCGCATGCCTCCCCACCACCCATTTCGGCACACCCCTCACACGTTTCGTGGCCCCATAGGGAGCTCCACCGAAGGCCCCAGTGGCTGGGTTCGCATGCCTCCCCACCACCCATTTCGGCACACCCCTCACACGTTTCGTGGCCCCATAGGGAGCTCCACCGAAGGCCCCAGTGGCAGGTTCGCATGCCTCCCCACCACCCATTTCGGCACACCCCTCACACGTTTCGTGGCCCCATAGGGAGCTCCACCGAAGGCCCCAGTGGCTGCGTCGCATGCCTCCCCACCCCATTCATTTCGGCACACCCCTCACACGTTTCGTGGCCCCATAGGGAGCTCCACCGACCCCAGTGGCCGCATGCCTCCCCAGGCATGTGGCTGCGTTCATGGGCCACACCATTTTTTCGCATGCCTCCCCACCACCCGGCACACCCCTCACACGTTTCGTGGCCCCATAGGGAGCTCCACCGAAGGCCCCAGTGGCAGGGTTCGCATGCCTCCCCACCACCCATCTCGGCACACCCCTCACACGTTTCGTGGCCCCATAGGGAGCTCCACCGAAGGCCCCAGTGGCAGGGTTCGCATGCCTCCCCACCACCCATTTCGGCACACCCCTCACACGTTTCGTGGCCCCATAGGGAGCTCCACCGAAGGCCCCAGTGGCTGCGTTCGCATGCCTCCCCACCACCCATTTCGGCAGTCCCCAACACCCATTTCGGCACACCCCTCACACGTTTCGTAGCCCCATAGGGATCTCCACCGAAGGTCGGGGGGAGCTTGACACTGGTATCCTTGCGGTACTCGCAGCTGCATATGGTTGGGTCCTTTGCCAGGCTAATTTTTTTTGCCGGTTCGGGTTCCGGCTCTTGTCCTGGAATCCTGGAGCTTTTTTTGTGCCGTTTCCAGTCGCCGTTTCTTTATTCCATGCTCAAGAGACACTGTTTCGAAAACGGTGGAACAAAAAGCCTGCCGCGTCCGGGGCTCACTAGGGGCGGACCCCTCTTATGCGGCAGCTCATGGGAGCGTACCGTACCATCTTGCTGGCCCTTGCGAATCGGCGCGAATCTACCCCAGTCGACGCTGAATCGGCGCTAAACTGGGCGCTCTCGCATCGATCGCCAGACGCTGGCGCACGCGGGTGGACTCGAAAGACGGAGTCTCGAGGACACGCCAAGCCCCCATGACTTGCTACCCGACCCCCCCCGAATCCAGGCCCGGGACCGCCGAAAGTTTACGGTAATGCCTCCTGTCCCGCGTCGCAGGGTGGAGGACAGTCTTACGCGAGATTACCTAGCGACCTTAGGCCGCGGATTACGCGGGCCGCCAGCGCGGCACGCCACATTGGAGACAAGGGCCCTTACGCGCAACCTTACGCGGGCAGCTTACCCGCCAGTGTCGGCGCAGACGGCCCCAGGCATGCGACATCCAGATTTTTCTCAGGACGGCGTCCCTGGAAGTCCCGACCCTTTCCCCGGGACCGTTTCTTCGCCACGAGCCGTTGCTTGCAAGAGGGCCCCGAGGCCCGGCGAGGGCCCACCCGGGGCCGAACAAAGCCAAACAAAACTCCCGTCCTTGGCAATCACAGGAAATAGTCGAGCCAGCGATTAAGCGCAAGCTCTTTTCCTGTGATGATTGATGAGCCTGCAGGTGATCATGGGCGAATGGTGGCTCAGTTCCGGAAGAACCTTTGAGAGAGCCACCCATGGATTCGCCCATGAAAGCAAAACTGGAAAATAGCTGGTTTCTAAACTCCTTTCAGGGACCCCGTCGAGTTTGTTCATTGCGCATTCCACCCCCCCCTCCGCGCATTGCCCCAATAAGTAAATGTGCCCCCAGCGCCTCCATGGGATGGCAAAGGTAATCGTAGCCATGTTGTACAAAGTCGGTAACCTCAGCTTGCATTCGCTAGCGCAGTCGGTAAACGCGTCGCCCAGATGGCGACGACGGCGGCGCCTCGGCCGACGCGGCTCGCGGCCAAGGACCCCCCCAACGCGGCGCCTGGACTGCAGGCTCGCCCCCGCCTCGTTGTCCTGCCGCGCGCTCGCGAGACGCGCTGACCGCCGCCGCCGCCGCCGCCCCCGCCGCATCGGCGGTCGTCGTCGGAGCCATAGAGGAAAACCCTCCTCCTCGTCCTCCTCCTCCTCCTCCTCCTCCTCCTCCTAGTCCTCCTCCTCCTCCTCCTCCTCGTCCTCAACCTCTTCCTCCTTTTCCTCCTCCTCCTTTTCCTCCTCCTCCTCCTCCTCCTCCTCCTCCCGAAGAGGCCCAAGAGGCCCAAGAGAGCCCACGGCCCAGGGACGCCCCCGATGAAAACTTCCACGGCGCCAGTAAAAGAAGCGCCCCCCCTCAAACAAACGACTGCCCCAAGAGGGCGCCAAGACGGCTTCCGAGGCCCAAAGGTCGCCTAGATGCTCCCAGGAGGCTTCGAAGAGGCCTCGCCTCCAAGAGGCCTCCAAGAGGCCCCCAAGAGGCTCCCAGGAAACCCCCAGGAGGCACCAACACGGCCTCGAGGGAGGAGGGTGAGGAGGAGGGCTTCTTTAAGAGTCCGCTGCCATCTACGCGGCGGGGGGCGGAAGAGGAACCGAGGGAAGCCAGAGCTGGTCCAGAAGGGGGAGAGAGGTGCGGACCGATAACCAACCCTTTTCGCTTTGGGAAACATCACCCATGCCCGCGCGTACAAATACTGCGCACCCCTTTCGGACCTGCGCAACCAACGCAATCAACTCATCCGGGTGTGGGGGGGTGCGGGCGGGCCCGGTGAATCGAGTTCTCACCAGACCCTGGCACACATCCTGGCGCTTGCACTCGCCTCGCACGGCCCTGGGGGGGGAGGAGGAAGCCTCCCCCAAAAGCTGAGTGTGCGGGTTCGACCCATCTGCCTCTCGCAGCGCGCGGCCTCTCCGAGGACAAGCGGGCTGACGCCAGTCGGGCCCGTGGGGGAGCACCACCTCCCCCACCCCCAGGGCGGGTTGGGCGGTCCAGCGCCAGCACGTGGTCACTATGGACCAGAAGAGATGGCCCCATTGGCCAGTGAGCACGGCAGGCCACTATCGGCCACCGCATGTGGTCACTATGGACCGAAAAGCGAGACACGGTGCAGGCCACTATGGACCGAGAAGCGAGACACGGCACGGTATTCTACCCTGCCCCAGTACCAGGCGGAAGAAGCACGGCAAGGCACAGCACCGCGCACCGCAAGCCGGGGGCGGACGCGGGTCGGCCAGCGCGCGGCCGACCAGCCGAGCGAGGGCGCCCCCGCGGCGATCCGCGGGGTCGTTTCCAGCGCAGGCGGATCCTGTCGCTTGCACTCGCCTCGCGCGGCCCTGGGGAGGGAGGAAGCCTCCCCCAGGAGCGGAGGGTGCGAGCCCGACCCATCTGCCCCCCGCAGCGCGCGGCCTCTCCGAGGCCAAGCGGGCAGACGCCGGTCGGGCCCGTTGGGGAGCACCACCCACTGCAACGGCGTTCCCGCGGGCCACGCCTGGCGCTGCCACCCGCCGCTCCCGCGTGCCTGGGTGCGCCCGCGCGTGCGCCGTGCAGTCGCAACCACCAGATTGCGCGGGGTGCCTAGACATCGCCATCGTCGCTGGGCGACTCCGCACAGTGGGCTTCGACAACCGACTGTCGCTCGAGTCGGGGAACGTTGAGGCATTTCATCCGCGCGGGCTGATGCCAGCCGCCGGCGCAAAGGTGGTCGGTGACAGGGCCTCCTCCGGCTGCAATGCCCCTCGCGTGCCCGTGCCTGAACGCGTGAATTCCATAAGATTTCGCGCCATGGCGCCCCATGTCGCCCAGCGCGCGGCGCAGCCGACACGTGCTGCGCCCGGGCGCCACGCGGCCCAGATAGGCCGGCGAGCTGGCACGCAACGCAGCCAGGCCCCGCGGGAAAGTTGGCCGCGCACTCATCGCACCAGCACTGCCGTGACAGCAGCAAACGGCTCTCGCGGTTCTTTCTCCTGGAGAGGTGCAGCTCGATTTTGCAATCGCCGACGACGAACGCGGAGGCCGCGCGAGTTGCGGCCGCGCCATCTTCAACCCGCGCCGCGGGCAGGGCCTCCAAAGGTAACCGAAGGAGGAATGCGTGGGCCGTCAGGCACAACATGGCGACGGCGACCCTCGCCACTGACGCGCAGGTGCGACGCCGGGCGGGCGGCGCCGAGGCCCTGAAGGGCCATGCGGGCCTTCGCTTGCCAGCCCGAGCGCTTCTCGATGGCGCTCTTAGCGGCGCGAACCGCCGGGTGCCTGAAGACTTCCGCGGGCTCTGCGCGCCGACTGCCACCGCGGGCGAGCGCGCGCGAAACATGATATTATGCGGCTATGCTCCTCCTGCTTTCTCCCCCTTGCCCCCCCGGCCTCTGGGGCTCTCGAACGGCACGGTTTCGCCGCAAACCGGCGCTTCCACAGCAGAGCTTTGAGAGACCCCGTTGAGCCAGGCCATCATGCGATTCTCCAATGATCGCTTTTTCGGCATGGTTCGTGTGTTGAATCACCTTCCGCAGCGAGTGGTTGAGTGCCTGTCTGTGAAGGCATTCCAGAGACTTCTACACAAGGAAGCTAAGCATGCCGCGTCTTCTCGCGCCAGCGCGTGGCCGTTGATGCACTCGCCACGCAACAGCGCTTAGCAGCGAACTGGAGCGAATCGGTCAGAGGGCTTGCTCGTAGAAAAAAGGGGAGGCGCGCCTGCGCGCCACGAGGCATGCCTTCTTAACGTAAGCCACGAAATTGCTGAAGGTACCAGCGCACCTGAAGGTCGTTGACCACAGAATCCCCTCGAGGGTGGGCGGCGCTTCTCTCCCGCGTCGCTTTAAGACGCCCTTTGCGGATGCCATCCAGCACGCGAGCCCGGCGCTGAGCGCTGGCAACGAGCGCGGGCGCGCACCCGGGAGTGCGCTCACCCGGGCTCTGCGCGCCCGCGCTCCTCGGATCTGGCAGCTGGAGATGCGGCGGGGGCCCCGGCCCTGGCAGCTTCGGCCCGCGGCCCGCGCGTGTCTCGGCAGCGCCCGCGCCCAGCGATTGAGGGCGGGCGCAGGGTCCGCTGGGGGAGCTGCGTGCGCCCTGCCGCTGCCCTGGCGCCCGCGCGACGCGCCGCGGTCGACGCGCCGCAGCTTCGCGCGCGCGCCGTGGAAGATGGCGAGACTGACTCGCTCGAGAGCGCCCACCTCACGACGCTGGCCCTGCGACGGCCGACGCGAAGCACCCGCGGGCGAACGCGGATCGCGCGAGAAGACCTGGGGGCACTCCAGGGCGAGGGAGCGAGCGCGAGAACAGCGCCCGCGCCACCCCCGCCTAATGCAGCTGGCATGCCGCCGCGCTGGGCCGTCGCGGCAGCCGCGCAGACCACCTCACGGGCGTCGCTAAATAATGCCGCGGCGCCCCTGAAGTCAGCCGGGGCGACGCCGACCAGGTCGCTCGCGGCGTCGGCGCCGTTGTCGGCAAGCAGCGCAGCAGCGTCGAAAACAAGAATATCTAGGATAGGGCGTGCCTCAGGGCAACCTGTGCGAAGCTCAGCGATCAATCCAGACCTGCGCCATCGCTCGCCGAAAGAAGCCTCGCGGCGCGCCGACAGAGCGGCGATGCGAGCGCACGCGCGCATCGCAAAGCGCGACCCCGACGCGCGCGAGGGAAGACCCCCAACATCAGCCCGACCCGGCGGGCGAACCCTGACCGACGAGAGAACGCGCAGTACAATGCGCGCGTGCCCGGCGCCCGAGCCGGTCATGGCTGGCGGCGAAAATGCCGCGCGCCCGGGTCGAACCGCACGTCGTCGCACGCAGGAGAAAAAAACACTCCGCCCCCATGCGACGCAGCAGGGGGCATGACTCGCGCGAGGGCGCGTCGGCGATATTAGCCGCCGACGTCACTCGATGAACGTGCAAATTGCAATTTGCACACAGCGACATGCGCCAGTTTGAATGGACAAGGCAAGCGTGGTCGAACTGCTTCGCCGCACCGGGCCAGACGGCCCACTCGCTGCCTGCACTGTCTGAGAAGATTCACGCATCGGCCTGACAGGAGCTGCCCGAAGGTGGTCGGGCCCAGCGCGATGCTGAGCACCTCCAGACCCCCGATTGGATTGTCGCGCCTTCCCCGGAGAGCCGAAGCAAGGCCTCGGGCGGGGCGACGTCGGTGAAGATTATGCGCCCGAAAATGAGAGGAACCGCGGCCACCCTGGCTGGATGGCCCCGCGCGTCGCAGAGCAGTTGCGCAGACGTGGCGCCTGGCGCCTGCCACTCTCGCGACGCGGGGAAATTGTTGGAAAGCGCTTCGCGCCACCATGGCAGACAGACTCGCAGGCGCGCCGGGATGCTCGGGTGGCGCGCCCTCGCGCGCTCGAATAACGGCGGGGGCAGCGCCCGCCCAAAATGCCCGAAGGTGTTAGAGGCGGCCCAACATAAGCGGCCTGCCAACTTGGACGCGCGCCCGCGCTCGAGCGCGCCCGCCTGAAGGGCGGCGGCGATCTCGGCGCGCCGCCGGGCGCGCTTGTCCGGCAGCGGAAAACGCGAAAGGTCTTTCTCGTCAGTCGTCACAGACAGATCCAGGACACCAAGCACATTGCCGAAGTGCAGCACACCGTCGGCAACAGCGCACGGATCGAGAATACTCCCGACTAACAAGTCTGGCGAACTGTCACATTGCGTCGCGCAGCCCTTCCTTGCATTCAGGGCAACAGAAGTCGTCCACATACCGGAGGACGGGAACGAAAATGAGCCTCCGGCCCAGCGCGGCCAGCATCGCACCGATGAGCCCCCTACTGCGAACGGAAGATGTCGCTCCGAATCGGGCGGCGAAGTGCTGGGCCACGTAGACGCATGCGCACGCGGGGAAAGCAATCCACGCGAAGGCGCGATGTTCCTGCATCAGCGGGACTCGCCGAAACGCGGCGTTTATGTCCGCCTTCCTGAGCCTGGGCGCTTCGCCCACGCGCGCCGCAAGCCTTGCGCGCGACGATCAGAGCGCCGACGGCTTCGCGGCCGAGGCGCCCCTTCGGCTGAGACGCCGCGTTGATTGAAGAGCGCGAAGCGTCATCTACAAACCGCAGCTTTTCGGACCTGTCCTCTCTCATTTGCCCGGCGCCGAACCGCGGCGTCAAAGCGGCGCCGTCGAGTCCGACCGCGCTGACTGGCGCAGGATGGCGCATTCGGCCAAGCTCCGCTTCGGCAGCAATTTTGGCGATAATCTCGGTCGAGTCGCTGGACTCTGCGAGCGCGCCGAGCAGCGCGGCGTTGCCGCGCGCCGCGCCCGCGGTCAACGTCGACTGGCCGAGCGGTTCAGGGGGGGGCTCAGGTCGCCCGTTCTCCGCGCGCGGGAGCGGCCCCACGGGGGGCGCGCCGCGCCCGGAAACTTCCGCGCGCGCCGCGCCCTCGTCACCAAGTTGAACTTGGCGAGTTCGCCAAGCATTTCGACGAGAAGAGTGCCGTTGATCGACCCTGCGATGGTGCGCGCATTAGCATCGGAGCCCGCGAACCAGGCCGCCGTCGCTCCAGAGGCGCGAAGCTCGGCGTTTCTGGCCCGAAAGCTCTCGGAAGTCGCACGCCGCTCACGGCGCGCGCGCCGCGCCGGGCGCGCAGCAATCAAATCGATCGCCGCTAAAAGGTCGCCGGGCACCACCGCGGCCTTTTCAAAAGGCCGCTCTGTCCTCGAGGGCACGCGGACGGGAGGGGGCCTCTTCAAGAACGCCAAGCTCGGGCGCACCCTCACCAGACGAAGGTAGCAGCAAGCGACTGCAGCCGGCCATGGCCGGCGCGGGACCGCGTTGATTGCAGCTAGAGTCGTCATTCTGCCGGGCGCGCGCCCCCGCTAGCGTCGCGCGCGCCTTAAGGCGCGGCACCTCGTAATTCCACGCGGCAGCGAGCGGGCGGGCGGCCCTCGCGTCGCAACTGGGCCGCGATGGTGGACTGGCGCCCGCGCCCTGGACGACGCGGCACCATCGCGGACACAGCCGCTGGCGCGCGCGCACCTCCGGGCCCCGCGGGACGGCGGCCGCGGTCGGCGCCCATTCGCGGTTATTCACATGACGACGTGGCGCGAAATGCGTAATTATCCTCATTAGCGCGCGCCCCAGACATCGCCGCGCGCCGCGCGATGCGCGCGCCTCCGGCCGGCGTCAGGCGGACGGCTTCTTCCGAGGTGAATACACCGGCCGCGAGTCCCATGGGCGCTTGTTCTTGTACTCCCCGCGGTAAGAAGAGCGGGAATACCACCCGTCGGCTCTCGGCTCGCGGCCATTCTTCCAAGGGGGCGCCAGCGGCGCCCGCGGCGCTTGCGGCGCTCGCGCTCTGTCCGCGCGCCACCGCGGCGCCTTCTGCTGCGCCCTTGCCGGCTGGCGCAGCAACCTGGGCGGCGGCGGCGGCGCAGCGCGCAAAGGGAGATTCGACGATGCGCCCTTCAGGGCCTGATCATATTTTGCTTCTGCTGCGCGGAGGAGCCCGCTGTCAGGCGACAGCGCAGCTTCGTTCGCCTGCGCGCCGACACGCGCCCGAGAGCATCGCATTGAAACGTGGCGCGAAACTGCGGCCTTGAAGTCCGCCGCGCCGGCGGCGGCGCGCTCGGGCCGCGCCCTCCGCGCAAGGCGGTCGTGCGCAGAGGCAACCTGGGCATCCGGCCACCCCAAAAGGGCACCCAGTGCAACCTGGGCGGGCGCACTCCCGCGGGCGACCAGCAGACGGGGCCAGCCTGGGCTCGCCTGGAGAAAAACGCGTTTGCGGGCCATGGCGCTTGCGTGCGATATCTGATATGTGACCGCCGCCGCCAAGCTCCACGCGTCATGCGCCTGGTGCCATGGCGCCCACGCCAAAAGCGGCTGGTTCTCCGCCGTGGCGCCCCGGCCGAGCCCGCGCCGCGCGCGCGTGGAGGCTGACACTTCGCGAGCTTCGTATAAATAAACCGGTGCTCCATGCCCTTGGATCTAGCGCGCTGCACCTCGGTGGCCAGCGCATCGGTCTTCGCCGACCTGAGCGAACTGCTGATTCGCGCCAGCGCGCCGGGACTGAGACGCGCGGCTGCCTGGGCCACAATGGATGCGGAAGGCCGCTCAGGGTGATCCGCGCCAGGCCAGCATCGATGTCGACATCGCCCCTCTCGGCGCAGGCCCAGAATTCTGCTGCGTCGTAGCCCAACGACAGCACGTGATCATTATGGGCCAGAAGAGATGGCCCCGTTGGCCAGTGAACGCTGCAGGCCACTATGGGCCACCGCGCGTGATGAACCGAAACGCGAGACACGGTGCAGGCCACTATGGACCGAGGAACGAGACACGGTAAGGTATGGATGCCCCGCCCCAGCACCAGGCGGAAAATGCACGGCACGGCACGGCACAGCACCGCACAACGCAAGCAGGAGGCGGACGCGGGTCGGCCAGCGCGCGGCCGACCAGCCGAGCGAGGGCGCCCCCCCGGCCAGCCGCGGGGTCGTTTCCAGCGCAGGCGGAGTTGTGCCTCTCAGTAGCTCCGATATCCCGGCCCCAGTAGCAGTCCGATGCGAAACGGGCATCGCACATCTGCTTGCAAACTGCCGGCGCGCACTGATACAAGCATGTGCGCTTATATACGATACGATACGATACGATACGACTCAGCCTGAATGGAGGTGTAACTCCCGCTGGATGACAGAACTACCTGGGCAAGTGGAAAAGAGACAGCAGCAATGGAAGAGAGGCTGGCGTGGGCGCGCCTGAGCGCGATCATCGTCGGACGCTCCTCGGGGCGGGTCCAGCTTTGGCCACGGAAAGCCCCCAAGAGAGGGCTGCCGCTGTCCTGCGGCGGCAGGGGCCGCAGAAACTTTTCCGCGCCACCGGCTCTCCTTCCCTCGAGGAGGGGCCACCTTCCCAGACGTGCGACGTCCTGATTGTTTCAGGGCGGCACCCCTGGAATTCTCGACCTGGCTTTTCGTCCCGAAGCGTTGGTTGACGGCCCAGAGGCCTCCTGATTTCTGTTACGACGCGATCGTGTCTGGGCTATGGCAGGGTGACCAGCCCGGTGGGGGGGGAACATCGAGCTCGAATCGGCAACGCATCGCCGCTAAATGGGCGATGGCCCCCCCACCAGCGGGACCTCACGGTCCTATGGGCGGAGTGGGCCGGGACCCTATGGGCGGTGAGGGTGCCATTGGGAGCCGATGCGTCCCTCCCTCCCTCCCCCTCCCCCTCCTCCAGCTCCTCCTCCTCCTCCTGCTCCTCCTCCTCCTCGTCCTCCTCTTCCTCCTCCTCCTCCTCCTCCTCCTCCTCCTCCTCCTCCTCCTCCTCCTCCTCCTCACCCGTACCCGAGGCGGCCAAGTTCGGATGTCCTAAGCTGCTGCTGCTGCTGCTGCTGCTGCTGCTGCTGCTGCTGCTGCTGCTGCTGCTGCTGCTGCTGCTGCTGCTGCTGCTGCTCCCTCCTCCTCCTCCTCCTCCCCTCCTCCTCCTCCTCCTCCTCCTCCTCCTCCTCCTTCTCCTCCTCCTCCTCCTCCTCCTCCTCCACCTCCTCCTCCTCCTCCCGAGAAGATCCCCTCCAGTGATCCTCGTCATCCGGGTTTCGGCTCACAAGTCGGGTCTCTGGCGGCTTTGCGGGAGGATCCAAACACCCCCAGAAAGCTCTCGGCGAGGCGCAGCTGCTGGAAAGCATCCCGAGGCTGGAAAGCCGCCGAGAACGAACGAAACGTGCAGAACAAACTAAGAGACACGAGCCTGAAAACCCCTCGAATTCCCCCCCCTGAGCCTATCCCTACCGGCGATGCCCCTGCTCCAATGCCCCCCGCCCTGAGCTACTCCCCCCCAATATCCCCCCCCTTGCCCCTGATCCGCTCCCTCGGGCGGGGATCCGTCATGGCGTCGCCCCTCGGCATGCCCGCGGCCTCCTGGGCAGCCTCGGGAAGAGCGCTGGGAGGACGGGAGCCTGCTCTCCCTGCGGTAGGGCGGGCGGATGAGAAGGAGGAGCGGAAGGAGGAGTAGCAGAAGGAGGATAAGGAGCAGGAGGAAGAGCTGGAGACGAGGAGGATGAGGATAAGGAGGAAGGAGCGGAGGACGGGGAAGGTGAGGAGAAACATGAGAGGAGGAGGGGAGGAAGACGAGCAAGGGGGCAAGCGGCAAAGAGGAGCGAGGAGGATGAAGAGAGGGAGAAAAGGGGGAGACGAGGCTGAGAATGAGGATGCGGAAGGATGGCAGGCGGGAGCGGCGAGAGACTGGAGCAGGAGGAAGACAGGAGGGTAATGGAAGGAGGCGGTTGAGGACCAAGGACAGGAAGCGGAGGAGGAACATGCACAACCCCCCTCGCGCTGTCAAAGAAACACGGTGTGACATTTTCGGTATGTTCGGTTTCAGGGGGCCCTGAACGGGCCTCGGGACCGTCAAACAAATACCCAAGATGAAAAGAACTGTCCCGGGAAAGGGGTCCCGAACTCTGGGGGTTGACGCTGTGAAAAAAAAAACGAAGTCGGTGTGGCGGGGGGGGATCAGGCGGACAAGGAGGAGGAGGAGGAGGAGGAGGAAGACTAGGAGGAGGAGGAGCAAGACGGAATGGATGATGCGGACCAGGAGGCGGTGGAGGACGAGGGGCAACAGGGAAATGATGAGTGTAAGGAGAAGGAGAAGGAGCAGGAGGAGGAGGATGAGGAGGAGGAGAAGGAGGAGGAGGAGCAGGAGGAGGAGGAGGAGGGGGAGGAGGGGGAGGAGGAGGAGGAGGAGGAGAAGGAGGAGGAGGAGACGGAGCAGGAGGCAGGAGGCAGGAGTATGCGTGTGAGCACGAACTTTAGAATGAGTGGGATCAGGAACAGGGACATGAGTGCAACTTTGGGCATGCAGGGCATGAAAGAGAGGGGGTCCTGAGGGAAGCAGGGGAGCTTCAGCCAAACGCAGACACCCCTTCAAATGCATACCCGTCGGTGGCGCCCTCAAAGATAACACCCTCCCCGCTGGGAAACCCGCCCCCTCGCTTCAAGCCTGTATCGTTTCGGAGACCTCGGCCATCCATCGCGGATGCCGCTGCGCAAGCGCGCGACCATAGTGCCCAACTCGTTTTTGATCAACCCCGCGCGCCAACCACCGCGCGTCAGCTTGAAACGAAAACCGACAGCCATCGCTCACAACGCGCCGCAGGGCAAGCGATCACTGCAGCGACCCTGAGTACCACTTCGCTACCTCGTGGCAGCGCCTGCATGCGTCAATTGAGCGCGCCACCCCTCCCATTCGAAGTCCCCCCTTGGCTCCCGAAACGGCCCGTAAGCGTGCCCCAAGGAAGGCTTCGGAACTGTTGTCCGCCGCTTTTTTGTTGTACGAGGTGTCCGTTCTTCCATTGCAAGAAACATCCCCAGGGGACACCCACGATCCCGCGTAAATCAGCGCTCTCAAGGCTCCGAGGTGGTCTTCGGGAGGCGCACTCCCGCCGCTCACGCCTTGTGGGGCAGCAGGGGGAGAGAAGGCTGTGTAACACTCGGGAGCGGCCAAGAGGGGGGTGTCCAAGAGGGGGAGGTGCAAATCATGACCGGCGGCATGTGCGCAGCCCACCGGGGGGGCCAGGGACGTAATGAAGTAAGAGGAGGCGCCATGAAATCTGGGGGGAGGGCTGCGTAACACCACTGCCCGGCGGCTGTCGGGCTCAGACCTCCTGCTCCCGCCGGGCAGCGCTCCGAGTCGCAGCGACTTGGGGCCGGGCGCCAGCTCCGCGGGCCGGGCGCCGGCGCGCGCGCAAACCCGGACGCTGTCGACCCGCGGACACAAATAAACTACTCCTCCGCCGCCTCCTCCTCCTCCTCCTCCTCCTTCTCCTCCTCCTCCTCCTCCTCCTCCTCCTCCTCCTCCTCCTCCTCCTCTCCTCCTCCTCCCCCCCCCCCTCCTCCTGCTCCTCCTCCTCCTCTCTTCCTCCCTCCTCCCTCCGCGCTCCCTTCTCATTATCCCTCCTCCGCCTTCTCCTCCTTCTCCTCCTCTTCCTCCTCCTCCTCCTTCTCCTCCTCTTAGCGCTGGATGTTCGCTCCCGGTGCCATGCTCCGCCACGGATCACCAAAAGATCCGCGTTCCCAGGCGATCCCTCGCATGGTATGCAAGAGCGCGTTCCCAACGTTGCACCGCAATCGCGCTCCCAGGGCAAGGAGTCGACTGTAAGATGCACTCCTGGCCCGCGATCCCAGAGCAGCAAGCTCTGTAAACCTACACTGGGTCCGCGCTCCCGACGCCGCGACCCGGAACCAGCTGCCCTGGATCCAGGCCCCCAGCGCCACGACCCGCCCTACATGATCACAGGAACGCGACTCTGCAACCCCGATCCACACTAGATTGAGCTGGGTCCTCGCCCCGGTGAAATGGCCGCAACCCCTCGCAAAGATCAACACTGCCACGGACATGTATCAGTCATGACCCCGAATGCTGCGACCCTTTCGCAGCGGGCGTGCACGCTCACGGCCACGAACCATTGCAACGTGCAGCGGCATCACCGCGACCGTGGCTACAATCCCAAGGCCAATCGCGCAGGATCCGCGGTCCCAAGGCCCACGATCCAGCGTACTGCATCCGTGCCCACGGAACCACGATCCTGCTTAATTTTGGACGGACGCGCGCTTCCAGCGCAAGTGAGCGTTTTCTTATTCGGCGTTTCGACATTGGGCGGAAGGGGAGGGGGAGAGGAGGGGGTCTGGCTCTGGACCTCTGCTTAGTGTGACTGTCTGCGACAGTGCGTCCTATGAAGGAGGCTCCGCGTGCTCGAAACGGGGGCGGGGGAGGCGAGGACCCGCGCCGATCGGCAAAGCAAGGAATAAGAGAAAGATCACCAACGCCACTTTGAATCACGGATGTTCCACGCTCCCCAGACCACGATCCCTTGCAGATGACGCTGGGGCCGCGACAGGGGCAGCGCTCCCTCGTAAGCTGTTCTGGGGCCCGCGCTCCCACGGCCACGGCGCTGGCTGACTTGGGCTGGGTCGGCGCAAGCGCGGCCACGGTCCCAGCAAAGGACACTAGGTCCGCATTCCTAGGGCCGCAACCCGACCTACGTTTCACAAGATCAACGCTACCCGGGGCCACGATTCCGTGCAAACGACGAAGGGCTGCGCGCCCAGGGCAACAATCCCTCGAAGTTACAATGGGCATGCGCCACAAGGGCCGCGATCTGTCGCAACTTGCGATTCCCAAGGCCACGAACTCTCTTTAATTGCACTGTATCCGCGTTCCCGGAACCAAAACCTCGTGCAAACATTGCTCCAAAAGGCGCCCTGGGAAGGATCCGGGATGCTCCAGTATGCCCCGACAGACCATCAAGACAGCAGCGCGAAAGAAAAGAAGCACACCAAAAGTGGCTCCTGAAAACCCAAGACGGGTCAGCAAGAGACGGGAGACCCTCTGGACGGCCAGGAATGGCCTCTAGAGGTTCCATGGACGGCCAGGAATGGCCTCCAGAGGTTCCATGTTCTCCTGACGGGGCTACACATATCCAAGACACGGCTGGGGCCCTCATCGCCTCCACCTCCAGGCTCCTCTGTCTCCCGACACTTCCGCCCCCCCGTTTCGCGCACCGCTTTTACCATGAAAACGTGGCCGGCCCCGTGTGTGGTGGGCGGGCCAGGAGGTCTTCTTCAGCAGGCATCCACATCCAAAATATAGTCCGTTTCTTTGACGGAATAATCCCACTCAAATGTAGACCCCACGAGAAGGTTTCCAACAGTAGATCCCACTATCTGGCCTCAGGAGTAGACCCCCCTAAACCCACCCTGAGCACCCTGAAATGTAGACCCTGCCAGCAACCCCATGAAAATTCAACCGGCTCCACATGTAGACCCCGCGAATCCCCCTGAGATGTAAACCCACAAAACGTCACCCAACATACTTTGAGATGGGCCTTTGTCTGAGGGCGCCTGGACTGTGGGCTGTGGGGGGCGCCCCAGGAGGAGCGAGAGATCTGAAAGGGAAAAATGGGCTTCAAAGCGGTGGGGGGGGCACTGATCTGAGGGAGGGCGAGGCGGATGAGGAAAACATAACAAACGAGATAGAGGAGAAAGAAGTCGAGGAGGACGGAATGCGGAGGAGATGAGGGGACAAGGGAAGAGGAGGAGGACGACGAAAGGGAGCGATGTAGACGAACGCGGTACGCTCGACCGCGAGCCACCCGACATTGAAGCGTCAGGGCGTGTGAAAAGTACGACCGCGAAGCATCCAAGCGAGGCACCCGAACTCGAAGCAACAGCGCGCAAAGGACTCGAGCAGAAAGGGGCAAGACACGCTTGCAGCAACATCAGAAGCAATGCATTCAAAATGGTCCCGATCAGGGTCCACGGCTGGGCGAGAGGAGCCCGCGACCGCGAGGGGGGAGGAGGAGACGCGGGCACCGCTATTTCACAAATGTGTTGCCAGCCGACCCGTCTGGACGCCGTGCCCGCTTCGTTTCTCCAAGGAGCACACGTCGCCGCGCCGTTTTGTCTCCCGACGCGCCCAAAGCGTACGAAGCCAACACCACGGCGAACCCACGGTAGACCCTGCGCCCGGCGCCCCCAGCAGACGCAGCCGGCACCGCGGCAGACCCACCGCAAAAAACCGCGCCCGAGGCGGGGCTCGCACCGGTGGCCGAGGCGCCCCTCCCAAGACGTGAGGCCGCGCGTCGGAACATACGGCGCGGCGGCATGTGGGCCCCAGGACGGCTCCAACATGGACCCCAGAGTTCCCCAACATGGCTCCAACACGGCATCTAGATGGTGTCAGCGTCGCGCACACTGGAAGGAACGCAGAAAGGTCACAGGGAACAGCTCCAACCAGGAAGGCAAAGGAGGACGAAGAGACACACGAGGGGAGGAAGACGAACCGCCCCCGAACGCAAAAACAACACCCGAGCGCGAGGCATCCGATCGCGCAGCCAGCTGAAAGCGCCCTAGCGCGAAACGCCCTAAGCAGGAAGCACCCGAGGGTGATCCCCTGGATCACGAAACGCCCGACGATGGAATAAGTAAATGCCTGACGCAGGAGCACGACTAAACACCCGATCCACAGTCACGCAATCCCGCTACCCAGCTCAGCCCAGCCCTGTTCCGGCCCATATGCTTCATCCCAGTCCATTCCGAAATGGACCCCTCCCTGCCCACTTCGATCCAATTCCAACCGCCTCGGTACAACGTAGACATGCTCTGCACGACTGAACTCGTCCCTGTCAAACTACGCCTCCGCCTACAATGGCGTGGCCCCCTCGAGTTCAACTTGCCCCCGCCAAGAAAAAGTTCTGCCCCGCTCAACCAACTCAATCAAGATCACCCTTGTCTGGCCCAGCTCAATGCATAGCAGCCGCACTCATTCGAAGCCAGCCCAGCCTAGCCCTGGCAGCCCAGATCCGCACAAGCGCAGCCCAGCTCAGTCCAATTTATTTCACCCGAGCCCTGGTCTGCCGATATCCACAGGTACCCCCGTCCCAAATTCTGTTCCACTAAATCAAACCCAGCCCGGCTCGGCGGATCCAAGTCAGTCCTGCGCAAAGCATCGCATTCCAACTCAGCCTAGTTCAGCCCATTTCGACCCACCGCTGATCAGACCAACCCATCCCAGCCCATTTACGTCGATCTCCCCCTAGCATAGCCCAGCCCAGCTCAGCCCAACAGAACCCAACGAAGCTCAGCCCCCCGATCTCACCCCCAGCTGGCCCAGTCCCGTCCTGGCTAATCCACCCCAGCCCGACTCACTAGAGCTGAGCCAAGACCGCCCTGGCTCACTCGAGCTCGGCCCAAATACCCGCTCAGTCCAGCTACATCCAGCTCAACCCAGCCCAGCGCAGCTCAGTCTGGCGCAGCCCAGTCCCACTCAGCTCAGCGCGATCCAGTCTAGCCGACCACTGCCTAGCTCTGCCTTGCCCGACGCGGCTCTGTCCATCTCGGCCCAGCTTAGCCCTGCCAAACTCAATCCAGTTCAGGCCTGTTCAGCTCAGCATGTCCTGGATCCGCCCAGCACGGCTCAGCCCATCGCTGTTCCGCCGCAAGTAGTTCGGCCACAAGGAGCCCCGACCAGCGCGGCTCAGCTCCACGCGGACCGTTGCAGCACAACCACGTCAGCCCGAGCCAGCATGGCTCGGCACACTACGATCCAGCCCAGCCCAGCCCACACATCTCGGCCCATCTAAACCCAGCCACCAAAATCGACGCGCGAAATCCGAATGCGGGCGCGATCACGCATCGCGCACGCCTTCGGCACGACTCGAGCACCACGACTGCCCAGCTTAGTGATGGCTGCGCGCTCTTGCTATTGGCGCGCAGGCTCGGACTGGCCCCGCGCGAACAACTGTCGGCCCCGCCCCCGCTCATACCCTAGGGGGGCGCCTCCGCGCGCCAGGGGCGGCGCCGGAGGCGCCGCCAGGGGGGTCCAGCGCAGAAATCGAGAAATCTGCGCGGACCTCCGACGATGCGGAAAACTGACGACATCGCGAGATATCACGACCAGAAACCTAGACCACATACCTTTTTTGGCGCTTTTCGTGTCGGATTGAGCTGTGATGGTCCTAGGGCCCGTAACCTGGCGAACTTCTTGGACGCAGCGGCGAGAATCCTAGCCCTCAGTAGGCTCTGGAAACGAGAGGGTCCGTTTTTTCCCGGTTCGGTTTTGCCGTTCTGGTGCCAGTTCCGTCGCCGTTTGTTTGCCGGTTCCGTCGCCGCCTTTTTCTGGCTCCGGTCTCGGTTCCAATCCCGGAGTCTCCCGCCGCCGCATTTTTGTCACCGCTTCCACTCTCAAGGGACACCTTGCCGAGCACGGACTGCACCCCCCGGCCCCTGCCTTGCCGGGGCCCGCAGAGGCCGAGCCGCGTGCAGGGGCAGGAGCTCTCGTGGGGCACTTTTGGGGGCCTCGAGGGCCAATCGCAGGCAATGTTGGATGGTCTTGGAAGATTCTCTGGATTTCGAAACAAGGGAGGGGGCCGGCCCGGGGCCCTGGGCCCAGGATCTCCTTATATGTATATACATGGAAGAGGAGGACGGGGAGGAGGACTGAGCAGGAGGATGATGCCGAGCAGGTGGAGGATAGAGGGAGCAGACGGAGGGAGAAGGGGAGGATGAGCAGAAATGGGAATAGATCAGGATGAGCGCGGGGAGGATTGATTGATTGGTCAGCTGGCAATGGCAGCTGAACCACTATGTCTTGCAACTGTGGCAGCTGCCAATAATCGATCGCCCGCAAACGCGTCTGGTCGCGGCAACTGTTCGAAAACGAAGCCAGGACGGCGACAACGCTGACGCAGGAACGCCAATGCTGCTCGCTAAGCGTGGCATGCCTCTGGGTATCTGGTGCCCCCGCGTGGTGTCGTGTGACACGCGCACACACAGGTCGAACTAACCATAAAATGATGATGCGGTGGAAAATGGCAAGACTTCAGACGCACACGTTGAAACGGGAGCAGTGGAATCGGGACCAAGGTCCCAGGATCCGTGGCATTGAGGATCACAGGGCCGCCTTGGCGAACAACCGCATCCTGGGTGCCGATCTTGACGGCCCCAAGCGAGAAAGATAAGCCGATTTGGTGGGGGAAAGCGGGCCAGAAACGCAACGACACCGCCCGACCTACTACCCAATGGTGCTGAAACTTGCCCAACTACGACCACCTGCGACCCACCTACGATGAGACCCCCACCTACGATCTACCTACGACGCAGCGGGTCGTAGGTGGGAAAGGTGTCGATTGGTTCTTGGTCGAGCAAGGGGGGCGCGCAGCCTTGTGCGAGCGTTCGTCGCTGATCTGCTTCCACTTCTCCGATGCCGTCTGCTGCTTCCACGGCTCCTGGCGCCGGGGGGGGGGTTGTTGAAGGACGAGGGGGAAGCCGAACGAAGGACCGAGAAGACGCGGGGAGCAGGATAATAAAATAGCATAGAGTAGAACCGATCGTGAAGCGAAGTTACATGACCCAAACACTAGGCATGCGCATTCGGCTCGGCCTTCGTTGAGGCGGCGGGGAGCAGGAGCACGAACAGCTGCGGGGAGCAGGAGAAGGAGCAGGATGAGAAAGAGGGAGGATGAACAGAAGGACAGGGGAGAAGGAAGAAGTGGAGGATCCATTGCAGCAGCAGCACGACCCATGACGACCTCACGGAGGCACAACATGGCGAGCGGTGCTGAGGCGATGAGGAATGGGGGAGAGACAGTGCGGCCAGGTGTAGGGGGGGAGGTGATGTCGAAAACTGGCAGATCCGCGTCCCATCGACGCGATCGCTCCTCCAACGACACTCGTCCCCGTGAAGTACCCAGAATTCGTTGCCAGCGTTTCCACTTACAACCACCCTCCCATCTGCCAACAACGCGACTGATTGTTCTGGCCCCCCAAACCCGCGAGAACATAACCACGACACGAACACGCGCAAGACAAAGCCGAAAGCTCGAGAGCCGGAGGACTGGGACATGTAAACACGTTCGACGTGTGCACATGTATATATTAATATACACATGTACAGAATTGTATGAATAATACCACCCGTGCACATGGTCAACGTATGTAAGACGTAGACGTGTACGACTGTACACACACACACATACGTGCGAATACGAAGCCACGCCGCCTCTGGGTCGTGTTTTGTCGGGGGCGCGCAAACATGGACCAGGATTAGCGATCCATGGATTTGGCGCGCGGTCGCCAAATCCATGGATCCGGGGAGGTGCCCTCCCCAAAATGCGGCTGTTTCCGCCTCGTTCGGAGGCGTAAACCAGCGATTTCCAATGGAAACAGGACCCGTCGCTAATCCACGCCCCCATGATCCATGTTTGCGATCGCCTGATATTGAGGACGTGAACGACTTTATCCGCGTCCTGTTGGGCCGCACCTGCCTGCACGAACCGCGTCCTTGCAGAGAGGACCCGTCTCCCTTGCCACGCTGTCCGAGGGGCGCAGGACACGAGCCAGCTTGCCGGGCCCGAGCACGCCTTCGAAGCCGCGCTCGACGAGAAAACACAAAAATTAGCCAGGCGAAAGACCCAACCATATGCAGTTGTGAGTACCGCAGTTGTGGGTATCGCCTTCAGTGGAGCTCCCTATGGGCCACGAAACGCTGTGCTGGGTGAGGGAGACCCATGTGGGCACCGCCACTGCCACCTTAGGTGGAGCCCCATATGGGGCCACGAAGCGCTGTGCTGGATGGGGGAGACGCATGTGGACACCGCTACTGGGGCCTTAGGTGGAGCTCCCTGTGGCCACGAACCGCTGTGCTGGGTGGAGGGGAGACATGTGGACACCGCAACTGGGGCCCCAGGTGGGGCTCCCTAGGGAGCCAAGAAGCGCTGTGCTGGGTGGGGGAGACGCATGTGGACACCGCCACTGAGGCCTTAGGTGGAGCACCCTATGGTGCCACGAAACGCTGTACTGGGTGGGGGAGATGCATGTGGACACCGCCACTGGGGCCTTAGATGGAGCACCCTATGGAGCCACGAAGCGGTGTGCTGGGTGGGGGAGACGCATGTGGACACCGCCAGTGGGGCCTCAGGTGGAGCCCCCAATGGAGCCACGGAGCGCTGTGCTGGGTGGGGGAGGCGCACGTGGACACCGCCACTGGGGCCTTAGATGGAGCACCCTATGGGGCCACATAACGCTGTGCTGGGTGGGAGAGACGCATGTGGACACCGCCGCTGGGGCCTCAGGTGGAGCACCCTATGGAGCCGCGAAGCGCCGTGCTGGGTGGGGGAGACGCATGTGGACACCGCCGCTGGGATTTTAGGTTGAGCTCCCTATGTGGCCACGAAACGCTGTGGTGGGTGGGTGAGACGCATGTGGAGACCGCCGCGGGGACCTTCGGTGGAGCTCCCTATGTGACCACGAAGCGCAGTGGTGGGTGGGGGGGACGCATGTGGACACCGCCAATGGGACCTTAGGTGGATCTCCCTATCGAGCCACGGGGCGCCGTGGTGGGTGGGGGAGGCGCATGTAAACACCGCCACTGGGACCTTAGGTGGAGCCACGAAACGCCGTGCTGCGTGGGGGAGGCGCATGTGGACACCGCCACTGAGATCTTAGGTGGAGCTCCCTATGTGGCCATGGAGCGCTGTGCTAGGTGGTGGAGGCGCATGTGGACACCACCACTGCGACCTTAGGTGAAGCTCCTTGTGAAGCCACAAAACGCTAGGGACATGCGCAGGGCGGAGGCAGGGATGGGAGGAGGGAGGAGGGGGAGGAAGGAAGGAGGGAAGGAACGCGGGAACCGTGACCCAACACCACAGGACGGTTGGGAAAAAACCCTCCAACCGAGCGGGTAAGCAGGCCCCGAAGAGGGGGGGACAGGGGCGAGGGCGCCCCTTCCCCCCCTTCAACTCCCGACGTCAGGAAGTTTCCTCCTCCTCCTCCTCCTCCTCCTCCCTCCTCCTCCTCCTCCTCCTCCTCCTCCTCCTCCTCCTCCCTCCTCCTCCTCCCCCGCCTCTCCTCCTCCTCCTCAGCTCCCTCCTCCTCCTCTCCTCCTCCTCCTCCGCCTCCTCTCCTCCTCCTCCCTCCTCCTCCTCCTCCTCCTCCTCCTCCTCCTCCTCCTCCTCTTCCTCTCCTCCTCCTCCTCCTCCTCCTCCTCCTCCTCCTCCTCCTCCTCCCCTCCTCCTCCTCCTCCTCCTCCTCCTCCTCCTCCTCCTGCTCCTCCTCCTTCTCTCCTCCTCCTCTTTTCCTCCCCCCTCCAGCACCTCCTCTTTCTCCTCCTCCTCCTCTCCTCCTCCTCCTCCTCCTCCTCCTCCTTCAGGACGTCTACCCCCGACCCATTCCCTGAGACCAGGTTTCCATCCTGAATCGAATTTGTTGACAATCCCGAGGCCCAGAACGGGGGTCCCCAAAGGCCGAACATAACGAAGAATCTACCGTCATGTTTCTTTCATGACCTGACCGTTTTTTTATCCAGAATCGTTGTTTCATGGCCCCGAGTCCCGGAAAGGGCCCCAAGAGGCCCAACACAACTAAGAACCTTCCAACGTGATTCTCTCATGGACCGACTTGTTTTGTCATCCTGCGTCCTTTTTTGACGGCCCCGAGGCCCAGAAAGAGCCCCCAGAAGCCAAACATAACTAAACATATTCCAGTGTGATTCTTCCATGACCCGACCAGTTTTGCATCCTGCGTCATTTTCTGACGGCCCCGAGGTCCCAAGAGGCCGATCAGGACAAAAAGCCTTCCAGCGTGGTCCCTTCATGGCCCGACTTATTCTTCAGCCTGAGTCGTGTTTTGACGGTCCCGAGGCCTGGAAAGGGCCCCTAGGCCGAACAGAACGAAAAACCCTCTGGCGTGATTCTTTCATCACCCCCCGAGGCCCGGAAAGGGCCCCCAGAGGCCGAACAGAACGAAAAATCTTCCGGCGTAATTCCTTCATGACCCGATGCGGGCCTGGGCCTCTGCAACCATCGGGGGCGGCAAAGAGGGGGGCGTCCAAGAGGGGGTGGCGCAAATCGTGGCCGGCGGCGTGTGCGCGGCCCAGGGGTGAGGGGGGCCGCGGACGTATGGACGTGAGAAGAGGGGTCTTGAGATCTGGGGAAGTATCATGGCCCCCGCCATGATACCCCCCCCCAATCATCACCCCCCTCCTGTCGGGATCCACCAAAGGGGTGGTCACACTGAGGGGGGGCATGAGTTCGATCCGCTGGTGCACCGAACTGCCGCCAACAGATGCCCCCCACATGCCCCAACCGTCCGCAACCATCGGGAGCTGCCGGCGGCTGGAGGGCACCTGCTCTTTGGGCGGCTCGGTGCAAACACGGATCACACTCCCTATCACACGCACACGCACACACGCACACACACACACACACACACACACCCGCACACACACACACACACACACGCACACACCCGGGCACACAGCGGGGCACCAACCCCCGTGGCGGGAGCCCCCTCTTGAACGCCCCCGACGACGTGGGGGCCTGGGCCTCTGCAGCTGCGGGCCGGCAGCGGGCGGGGCAGCTCCGGCTTGACCGCGACCTCGTAGTGGTGCTGCGACCTCCGCGCCGGGGCGCCCGAGGACCGCGCGCACGGCCACGCGCGGGGGGGGCGGGCGGAGGCGGAGGCCTCCCGAGGCCCTGGAGCGATGGCGAAGGGACCTCCCCAGACCTCCTCGCGTTGCGAACTACTCGGGGCGGGAGGTTTTTCCTTCCCTTCGGCCTCTGGGGGCCCTTACCGGGCCTCGGGACCGTCAAAAAACGGCTCAGCATGAAACCGGCCCCGGGGAAGGGATCCAGACATCTGGGGGTCGACGTTGTGAAAATAGCCTGGCGAAGGACCCAACCATATGTAGATGCGAATACCGCAATTATGGAGATCGTCTTCGGTGGAGCTCCCCATAGGGCCACGAAGCGCTGCACTGGGTGGGGGAGACGCATGCGAAGTTTGCCACTGGGGCCATCGGTGGAGCTCCCTATGGGCCACGAAACGCTGCACAGGGTGGGGGAGCCGCATGCGGACTTTGCCACTGGGGCCTCTGGTGGAGCTCCCCATAGGCCACGAAACGTTGTGCTGGGTGGGGGAGACGCATGCGGACTTTGCCACTGGGGCCTTCGGTGGAGCTCCCTATGGGCCATGAAACGTTGTGCTGGGTGGGGGGGACGCATGCGGACTCTGCCACTGGGGTCTTCGGTGGAGCCCCCTATGGGCCACGAAACGTTGTGCTGGGTGGGGGAGACGCATGCGGATTTTGCCACTGGGACCCTCGGTGGGGCTCCTTATGGGCCACGAAACGTTGTGCTGGGTGGGGGAATCGCATGTGGATTTTGCCCGGTGGAGCTTTCTACCAGGGCAAGGGGTCGGTGGAGCTCCTTGTGGGGCAACGAAACGCTGTACCTGGTGGTGCGTGACGCATGCGGGCGGTGCCACTGGGGCTTTCGGTGGAGCTCCCTATGGGGACGCGAAACGCTGTACTGGGTGTTGCGTGACGCATGCGGGCGGTCCCACTGGGGCCGTCTGTGGAGCTCCCTGTGGGGCCACGAAGCGCTGTACTAGGTGTGCGGGACGCATGCGGGCGGTCCCACTGGGACCCTCGGTGGAGCTCCCTATGGGACCACGAAACGCTGTTCTGGGTGGTGCGTGACGCAGGCGGGCGGTCCCTTTGGGGCCGTCTGTGGAGCTCCCTATGGGGACGCGAAACGCTGTACTGGGTGGTGCGTGACGCATGCGGGCGGTGCCACTGGGGCTTTCGGTGGAGCTCCCTATGGGGCCACGAAGCGTGTGAGGGGTGTGATGAAACGGGTGATGATGATGATTGTGATGGAGGAGGGAGGAGGGAGAGGAGGGAGGAGGGGAGGAGTAAGGACGCGGGGCGCTGTCTCTTCAAAACGAAGACCCAACACCACAGGACGGTTGGGAACAATTACGACGTCGGGGTTGGGTCTGGAGTGCCATCCGGAGGCCCATCCAGAGGCACGCTGCCAGGAGGCAACTCCTGTCAGGGCTCCGCTGGAAAGATGGAAGGCGATTCGGCCCGACTGAAAGGCCCCTCCAGGAGGCTCGAGGTGCAATCTGAGGCGCGAGGTTTTGGACAATCCTCATCGGCTCCCAGCGGTTTTCTGGCGCCGGGACGCCTTCCAGCGGCTGCGCCCCGTCGAGGGCGTGCCCAGATCGTCCCGAGCGGCCGCCGGAGGCTCGAGCTACGGCCCGAAGACCACCAGGAGTCGAGGGGCCCGAAAGCCGCTGTCGGGAGGCAGCTCCTCGGAGGCTCTCTCGCTGGGAGCGGCCAAAAGCGATCGTGCCCGATGGCAGGCCCCCTTCGACGGGCCCGGCTGGAGAAAGCCCGGGATGATGCAGGATTGAGCCGTAGAGCGGGAGTGAGCCAGATCCTCCGCCTCCTCCTCCTCCTCCTCCTCCTCCTCCTCCTCCTCCTCCTCCTCCTCCTCCTCCTCCTCCTCCTCCTCATCATCATCATCATCATCATCATCATCATCATCATCATCATCATCTCGTCCTTGTCCTGCTTCTCCTCCTCCTCCTCCTCCTCCTCGTCCCTGTCAGCCTCCTCCCTGTCCTCCTCCTTCGCCTTGTCCTTCTCGTCGTCCTCCTTTTCCTCCTCCTCCTCCTCCTCCTCCTCCTGTGCTAAGCGAGACTGAGCCGTATTAGCCCAGATGAAAACAGTTGTCGACCATGGAAATGCCAGCGCCGATGAAGAGTTTATCCTCCCAGGAGCTGCATCCTAGACGCTGAAGCCTCCAGAGGCCCAAAAAGCCAAAAGCGGCATAAAGAAGTGAGTCCTCGAGGGGGAGCTTTTTTTCCTTAACTCCACGCCCAACCGATTCCTGAGGGCTGACGCCAGCCGAGCCATTGCTGCAACAGGAGAGGGGTGCAGCTGCGCTGGAGGAGGGTGAGGAGCGAGGGGGAGGCGGAGAAAATGAACGAGATGAATGGATGACTGCCTTCCGTAGCCCATGTTGCCGTCATCTGAGCTACATTGATTGCTCCATCTCCATGCACGAGCATTATACGCGCCGACGGGGGATGCGGAGAAGCAGAAGAGGAGGTTTAATACATGGGATGTTTGATACTATAGGATTTTCAGACATGATCAGTTTATGAAAAGATATGCATGAACTCATCGTTGTTTTTCATACTAAATCTCTGCATTTTTGATACATGATCCGCACGCGGAGCATGTATTAAAAACGGCACTGTAACGGGGATGGCTGCGTCGGCCCTCTGGCCGCGATCACGGGGGGGAGGACGGATGGGAGGAGGATGCGAGCGAGAAGCGGCAGCAGAATGATGGGAGAGGGGCATGTGGGCGGACAGGGGGAAGAAGGAGAACGAGACAAAGGGGAAGGAAGAGGGCTTGAGTGAAGGGGCCCTGAGACACACAGATACATACGCACAAACAAAAATATGCCCCACCTTTTCCTATATTTTCTGGGGTTCTGCCTTCCCCCCCCACTGCCCCTACTTTTACATATGTTCTAGGGAATCGAGGTTTAATTGTGTCTGTGTGTTTCTTTTCCTCCTGATTCAGGGAAGTGGCGAGAAGGAGTTGGCTTCATCTTGCCCCACAACTCTGGAAGAGCATGGATCTCTCTGGTTATGCGCCTGGTCGGGCCACCCGTCTAGTCAAATCGTGTCTGGACATTGTCGCACTTGGCAAGATCGCGCCCAAGGAAAATGCCAATATTGCTTGCAAGCGCCATTTGCCATATCGCCTTGCGCTTCAATGAAGCCTACACGCTGCCGCTTCAGTCACATCAGAAGGACCTGTAAACGACCTCAATGCCAGGGCGTATAAGTTCAGAACATGTCCTGAAACAAGCTATGATAACAAACTTGCATAATGATATCATCAGTTATCCGAGAGAAGCGTCACACCACCAAAACCATGGAATCTGCACTCGCCAGGCAATCTGCCCTTCGCCATCTTGTACAAAGTATTCGTTTTGCTTCAGGGCGCGCTTTGCGTTGCTTGGCTGCGGGAACACGCTCGGGTACAATCTGGCTCCATGGGAACGCGCAGGGAGACCGGCGGAAGTGGATACGGCGACGAACAGGGAACCGAACATGAGCCAAGCGGCACCGCAATACCTGGTGGCGACTATAGCAACACCACGTTACAGTCAAAAACCCTAATAAGGACGCGCGGTAAGGACGCAAGTCCCTTGGAAGCCGAAGTTGGGATTTCTGGGGCGGCGGACGACGAAAACCCCAAGGACGCAAGAGCAAGGAAGAGAGAGGACGCAAGGGTACCCTGAGCAAAATCGCGCGTCCTTATTAGGGTGTTTGACTGTACAACCGCTTTAATCAGCTAGTGCAACATGGGTGACCACGGCATTAGCCATGGGTCATACGCAAACCAAGCGGTGCGCCGAGATGGCCAGACGAAGCCACGGGACAAGCGTATGAAAGTGTAAACTCGTGTGGGCACCACGTGTTATTTCGATATAATTATGCATATGAGCACTCTTGTACATTTATATATTAACTGTATATACATATGAACACCTTTGCACACGCACACAACTATACATATCTAATAATTCATACATGTTTCAGAATGGCACGTGCTACGTCGTCAGCAGACGTGACTTCTCCTCTTCCTCCTCATCTTCATGGTCCTCCTCCGTGTCCTCCCCCTCCACCTCCTCTCCCTATTACCTTCCTCCCACCCCTGCCTGCTCGCACTGTTCTCTCTCTCTCTCTCTCTTTCTCTCCCATCCTCCTTATCTTCCCTCTTCCTCCACCTCCTTCCGTCCTCCTCCCTTCTCTTCTTCCCTTCCTCCCCTCCTACCATCCTCCATCTCCCATCCTCGTCTGTTTGTCCATCTGCTATCACCTTTCCGCCGTCTTCCTCCCTTCTTCTTTGGGGAATCGAAAGGTACTGATACCGCTACTCCCAAGACCTCTCCCGGGGTGCGTTCCGACAAAGACTTCGAGGCGAATCCGGCCGTGGCGACGAGGCCTTCCTTGGGAGGTCCAAAACGGCGAAACCGGAGCCAAGGGCAGCGGCGCCTCTACTTCCCTGCTCTTGCTCGGGGAAGAGGCTCCGACTCCGCTGCCTGAGCCTCTAAGCCCGTGCCCGTCCCCCTCTCGCTGGAGGAGGAGGAGGAGGAGGAGGAGGAGGAGGAGGAGGAGGAGGAGGAGGAGGAGGAGGAGGAGGAGGAGAGGAGGAGGAGAGGGAGGAGGAGGAGGAGGAGGAGGAGGAGGAGGAGGAGGAGGAGGAGGAGGGAGGAGGAGGAGGAGGAGGAGGAGGAGGAGGAGGCGCCCGCCGATGTACCTCTGGCCAGCCCTCCAGCGCGGAGGGCGCGCCACGGCGAACGGCGGCCAGCCCCGACCAGCACCACTGCAACCAGCACTGGCGCATCCACCGGGGGACGCCCTCCTTCTTCTCCTCCTCCTCCTCGCCCTCCTCCTCCTCCTCCTCCTCCTCCTCCTCCTCCTCCTCTTCTCCTCCTCCTCCTCCTCCTCGATCCTTCTAGATCCTTCTCGATCAGTACCACTGTGACAGCCAGGACCAGGAGCAGCAGCACCAATGTGACCACA